CTCTCTCTCTCTCTCTCTCTCTCTCTCTCTCTGTGTCTCTCTCTCTGTCTCTCATATAACCGCTATCACAATGCAAACTCCCTTCGCCTTTACATACATATCTTCCAGTAAGAGTACTTCCTATCTCGAAGCTGATGATGTAGAAGATGAAGATTCCATCATTCTTTCTCTTCGTCCTCCTGGCCAGCAACACGTCTCTAAACAATACACCAATATCCATCGTCTCTCCCAAAAACGCAGCCACCTTTCTTATCATCATAATCACCAAGACCCTACTAATGAGATTAATGGTGTAACAGTAGCTCTACATATTGGTGCTCCATCGGCAGAAGGATCAAGCTCTAGGAATCTTAACGAAAATGGTTCCGGTCTAGTTGAAGGGCAGTATTGGATTCCTTCACCGGCACAAATCCTTGTCGGTCCCACACAGTTCTCCTGCTCTGTCTGCAACAAAACATTTAATAGATACAACAACATGCAGGTTCTATAAAACTTAAGAATATATATATCCTTGTTAATTAGAATCTTCCTTTTGTAGTTCTTTTAATTAGTTATAGATTCATTTTCCTTATGATGAATATTATATAAATAGATTCGAGAACGGATCTTGATTCTGCTACATTCTTTTTACTCATATATTTATTTTGGTTAAGTAGATGCACATGTGGGGGCATGGATCACAGTATAGGAAAGGTCCAGAGTCGCTAAGAGGGTCAAAACCATCTTCTTCAATGCTGAGGCTCCCCTGCTATTGTTGTGCCGAGGGTTGCAAGAACAACATAGAGCACCCAAGATCGAGACCGCTAAAGGATTTCAGGACGCTGCAAACCCACTATAAGCGAAAGCACGGAGCAAAGCCGTTCAGTTGCAGAAAATGCGGTAAGCCTTTTGCGGTAAGAGGAGACTGGAGGACCCATGAGAAGAACTGTGGAAAGCTCTGGTTTTGTATTTGTGGGTCCGATTTTAAGCACAAGAGGTCCCTTAAAGACCATGTCCGTGCCTTTGGAGATGGCCATGCTCCGCATACTGTGGGTTTCTATGAGGTTGAAGTAGAGGAAGATGAACATGACGATGATGACGACGATTACCTGGACGATATATGATCATGGGGAAAAATAACCTATCGTGTCTTAGTTTTGACCAACGGTATGATAATCAATTGGAGTCATCCAAGGGATGAAATTTTATGTAATGGTTTTTAAATTAACGGATGAGATTTATTAGATTGTGCATCTCAGATACAAAAAAAACGTTACAACGTTATATATAATCGTAGCTCGATATCGCCAATAAATATATCACATGTATAGCCTAACTATATAATGATGTTTCATGATCAAGAACAGGATGCATGCAAGTAGACGTTAATTATGGTGGTATATTATGATGAGAATTTGATTTGTATCATTAAAAATGGTTAGTGATGAACGTTAGTATATAAGCCGAGAGAGAGAGAGAGAGAATTGGAGAAGAGAGAAGAAGAGGACAAACAATATACGGTGAAAGCAAAAGTATTAATTAATGCATTAAATGATGGAAGTGGCAGTTCGATTGTCTAATGGAAGGAACCTTTTGTTGCACTTTTTCTCGTGATGTATTATATTACACATGTACACATGCATATATATGGACTGTGGAAAGTGAGAGAGAGAGAAAAGGGTCAAGTGAATTCAGTAGTCACTGCAGATAAAGATCAGACATGCAGGCATATGAACAGTATGTCACAGATTGATCTACTGTTCATAGCCATGCATCAGCCAATAGTTATCGCCAACTCTCGATTATATATATGCATACACATATGTATATATATATTTATGTATGTATACATGTAGATGTGCAGGTAAGGAGAGATGAATGATGTTTCTGAGGTTGGACTAGCACTCCAAGCACTTGTATGGAGGGCTTTTGTCAGCAAGAGAGTGACGAGGGACCACTGACATTTACTGCTTTTGGGTTTGGGATTTCACCCAACACCTACTTTTTCCCCCCCTTCACATCTCTGTTTTTTCTTTTTAATATTTGTCTATAGCTAGTATTGATGCTTCAAGTATTATTTTTTCACATTAATCCTTTTCAGATCAATAATTACAAGTATTTTTTCATGCACCACCACTTTTATATATCTATTTCTTATTTCTTGGTTCCCACTCCCAAGTTGCAACTTCTAACACTAAAGCATGGAATATATATCAGCATTTACACCTCGGGCTCCACATATATATTTCATCTGTAATATGTATATATATGCCGCCAGATTATCATAAACCATCATGCATAGTCTCGGTTTTTGTTTATTTTGGTAACTAATGTCTTCTTAGAGTCCATGTCTGATATATCCTTAATTTTTGTCTTACAGTATTGTTATCTGTGCCAGGCAAGTTTTGTAAACATTAATGCATGCATGCACGTTACTGTAGCTAAAGTTGTACCTTTTACTCTTTATCAGTTAGGGTTTAAGATTCTGGTTATTAATGTTTCGTTAAAGGACCATGTAATTAAATCTAACAACTGCTACTGTGGAGCCGATGGATAATTTCCATCTCCTCCCCATCGGTCTGTTTTTTTTTTTTTTTTTTTTTTTGTTGTAAATTTCGGTCAACCTTACCAACTACTAGCTCCTCTATTTGGGTCCTAGGCATTGTATTTTGTTTCGCCAGTCTTCTTGTCTTGTTTGCTTTGTTTTAATATATATATTTATACATACGTGTATATAATAACTCATCAATTTACTACTAATAATCTATATACAGTAAAACTGCACCGAAGCAAAGGGAGAGGGTTCATTCTTTTTATTTGCAAATTACATAAATCAGACTCAATTAACTGCATCATTGCATGCGTTGTACTGTTTGATACCACTTCATAATAAATTCACTTTTTGCAGTTGGAAAAAAAAAATCATAATTACATGAATATAACAATTTGTCAAAACTTCCAAGAAATATTTTGGTCAGTACTAATCATGAGAATTAAAATTCACTTACTTAGCTAACAACATATATCATTCAAATCATAATTTTGTATAGGCCTCAATGAGGAAAACAAAATGATCGTACATAATATGATAATTTTATATGTGGGTAATAAGGTTGTGCCTGTATATTCAGTAGACATTAATAGTTACTTCTCCTCGTGTCCTTTCAACTTGGTCACTACTTTCTCCTAATGCAAAACCGCAATCCTTTATCTTTCTGGACAGACTTGTCTTCTAAAGATGAACCCTTCCTTGAAAGGCATCATCGGCCTCGTCCTAATAATTTATCTCAAAGCTAAGTTGCCTTTTCAGATAGAATTGACTCAACCATGAGATTGATCTTGGTGATTGGCAATAGAAATAAATCAAGTTTTAGGCGAATGTTTGGCTTGGTGACAGAACTTTGAAGGAAGTGTTTCCTAAGATATTTAACCTAATAGAAAATAAAGAAGGGATGATGAATGATTTATCATCTGGGACTCACCCTCATGGCCGTGGAATGATAAGAATGACTATTGATTGCAAAATGACTAGTGATTATGTTTGATGGAAACATTCCAAGGGATCAGGAATAAACATGACAAAGTTGTTGAAGGTTGATTCAAATTGACATGTACCTCTTTTAGATACTTGGTTTTGAAGATTATTCCTTAATTTTTTTGGATTAGATTTTCATTTCATCGCTCCTTGATTTTCTGGATTAGTGGATAAATAATGACATAAAGTCTAGATCTAGTTGAAAATTTTGAGCTTCTTCAGTATTTATAAGCCTACAAATAGGTACTTTGATTTCTTCAACAACATAACAGAAAAACATACAAGTTCTTTGCATTTTTCTTCTGTTTCCTACTGTTGCAATATAACAAGAGTAGTACTACGTCCAAATGTTATCATTGCAAGTGATTTGGGAATGTAAAGGTAGAATGTTAGAAAAGGGACGAACAATCAAATTATGTCAAGAAAAAAGAAGAGGAAGTCAAATTATTCATGGCTTATCAGGAAGATGCAACCATTTACACCAGCATTTGGGCCTTAGACAACAGATGCTCTAATTATGTTATTAACGTAAAATCGTTATTTAAAGAGCTTGATGAGACATTTAAAGTAAAGGTAACACTTGGAGACAACAAGCATATGCAAGTAGAGGGAAAAGGCACCCGCGGGTGATAAAAAATTATCATGGTAAAGTAAAGCTTATTTACAATGTCTATTTTATTCCCAGTTTGTCAGGGAATTTCCTGAGCATTGGGTAACACATGGCTAGTGGATAATCAATCTCTTTGATGATGTCTCATGTGTGTGATTAGAGAGAAAACAATCAGAGTCAAATTGTTGTTGTTTTCACTTGAAAGGGCCAGTGTGGAAATCATGCTCTTGTTGTCAAAAAAAGAAAAAAAAAAAAAAAAAAAGTACCAAATTCTTTTCCCTCTATTGTTTCAGTTATTTTACTAACTCATATTATTAAAAGCTCTCTTTTATACTTGTAATAATGTAACCTTTAATTTAAGGGCTGAACCATATAATAATGAATCTTTAACTCAATCATTGTCCATGATCAAAACAACAGCAAACTATTCGAACTGAAATCCTAAACAAAGGAATAGTGGAACAGAACTTGCATTTGAGAAACTGATTTCTAAACGCCTTCAGTCAAATGGTGGAAATTGTGCCTAGTTAATTAATGATCTTGAGTTTGCTCGGTGGCATTGTTGAAGTATATTGGCTCAAGATATAATTTGCTTGAGAAGAGAGAAACCAGATAGATAAAAACTAACTTTCACCACTATGTAATGTAAATTGTAGATTAAAAAAAAAACGAGAATCTCATTCTCATAAAGGAAGCACCCAGGGGAAAATGCTAAAAACTACACACGTCTAAATTGGGCATTGACCGAGTTGAACAAGAAACATTTAATTTTGGTCAAGTGACTCATCCTTACAAAGGCAATTAACAAGTCAAGAGAACAACACAATCTGGAATAAGTTTGGATGGTATATCCTGTCTTTCTGCAGAAAGAATTCAATTGTCTGGAGCATTTACCAGACAATCCTAGGATTCACCTGTCAACTCTCCAGATATGTTAGTCATATAGCTGTCATCATGGTCATGGTTACAGACAACTAAGCTCTGTAAAACAAGAGCAGGCAGGGTAACCAGCATTGAAGAGGTGGTGAGATTATTAAACAGAGTTCTGGTTTCAAGAAGTGGAAAGTAAAATGCTAAACAAAAGAATTGATGTAGCTTATCTTAAAGAAGGATAAAGGAAGAGAGACTTACTCGAGCAGCAATGACAATATAAAATTTCTTGCTGATATAAGCAATCAGTTGCTGATAGCAAGAACCAAAATTGCAGCCAAAGTGACTTCGCAAAACAAAACAGCCAAATTCTGTCAAACCCAAAGGAAGATATTTCCTCTGAATTCAATAAGCATTATCTGAGAAAGTTATGAAGTGGTGAATGACAATATTAGGTCAATAGCCATCAGTCCAATATAATAAACATCTCATTTGTTGTCAATACTCTTGCTGAACCCCATTGACTGCTACTTAGCAGCTGCATCACTTCCTAACTTCCCTAAAAAGGATTCACATAACAGCACTTACATTTTTCCTTTTCGTAGGGTTCCCCAGCTTATCATCTAGTTAAGGTCTAGTTAGAAAAAAATTCTAAATAAAGATTAGATCACTTATGACCTTGCAATTTACGAGCTCAGACAAAACTTAACATTTGGATGGAACACTCCTCAAAATTCTTACTCAACAAAATAATGTGTGTGTATATATATATATAGCTATAGAAGGTAATAAATTCTAAGAAATTACCCCACTAAGAAATAGGTAACTATCTAAGATAAACAGTACTACTTCCTACACTTCAAGGAAATTAAGAAACTGAAAACAGAATATTCAGAAACAACTGATGTACTGAATTGCTTCAAGAAAACGAATACAGTGGCTGATAATCATGCCCCTTCTGCCCAAGACTTTTTCCACTAAATGGGAGCAACAACATCATTAGGGTCGGAAGTCATCTTCAGTTTTTCACATTCCTAAAACCTGGCCAGCAAACAGAACTACCTTGATGAAATACAATCATTCTATTGACCCTTGCTGATTCATAAAAA